TTCTCCACAACCTCGCCAGCATTTGTTGCTTGCTGTTCTGTTAAATTTTGCTATTTTGACTGGGGTGAAATGATATCTCATAGTTGTTTTATTTTGCATCTTTCTTAGGGCTAGGGATTTTGAGCATTTCTTCATGTGCTTGTTAGCCATCTGAATGTCGTCTTCAGTGAAGTCCCTGTTCATATCCTGTGCCCATTTTTCTATTGGATTCTTTACCTTGTTGTTCTTTATTTTGTTGTTGGGGCTCAAATATTTCATAAATTCTGGATATAAGTCCCTTATCTGATATGTTACTACCGAATACTTTTTCTCAATCAGTGGCTTCCCTTTTTACCCTATTGGAGAAGTTTTTGGATGTGCATAGGGATTTGAGTCTTAGAAGATCCCATTCATCTACGTTATCTTCTCCTGGTTGTAGGTGCGTTTCTTTTCTTTAATGCATTTTTATTTTATACTCGTTTGCTTACAAAGTTCGTATGCCTTGTTTTTCACCTGGATCTTTCACATTTCCTTCACTGACCCCACCCCCATCAAATTGTGTGACCCTATGATATCCCCCCTGCCCAGCCTCATCCTTCTGCTTCTACCAGATGCCCCCCCTCACTTGGATCCTCATACACATTTTACTTGTTTTCTTTCTATTTCTCCAATAATGATCTTATACAATATTTGTTCTTAGGCGACTGAGTTTGTTGAGAGCATAATACTCTCCAATCTCTCTGGAGTCAGTTAGTGATTTTCAAAATCACTGCTCCTGCATGTTGTTTAGTATTCCATCTTGTGAATGCACCACAATTTCTCAAGCCACTCAATTGTAGTTGGACAATTTGTGCTGTTTCCAAATGTTCTTGTGATTTAATTCTGCTGATATGTGCCGTTGAGTCGCTTGTGACTCATAACGACCCTATGTACAACAGTCCTAAACCCTGCTCTGTCCTGCACCAGCCTCACTGTCTCTGACATACCCACCCTGATTACCCCAGTCACTGAATCAGTCCACCTCACAGAAGCTCTTCCCCTCCTGTGCTGTCCCTCTACCATGCCAAGCATGACATCCTTCTCCAAGGGACTGGTCCCTCATTACAACATGTCCAAAGTATGTCAGAAGAAGCCTCAGAATCCTTGCCTCCAAGCAGCAGCCTGGTTTACCCCTCTCCAGGATGAACCTGTTTGTTTTCTTAGCAGTCCATGGTATATTCAATACTCTTCTCCAGCACTACAGCTCAAAGGCATCAATTCTCCTTCTCTTCTCCCTAGTCATTGTCCAGCTCTCTGACACATTGCAAGTGATTGCAAAGACCATGGCCTGTATCAGACACCATTTCTCTTCAGTACACTGGAGAGGTCCCTAACAGCAGACTTTCCCATCGCAATACATCTTTTAATTTCCTGGCTGCTGGTGCCAAAAGTGTTGACTGTGGAGCCAAGAAAACTAAAGCTGTGAACAATCTCAGTCTCTTCACCACCCATCCTGATGCTGCCAATTGGTCCAGTGGTGAGAATCTTTGTCTTCTTGATATTGAGCCTTACTCCATATTGAAGGCTACAATCCTTGACCCTCTGCAGCAAGCACTTCAGGTCATCCTCAGTTTCAGCAAGCAGGGTTGTGTCTTCTGCATAACACAGATTATTAATGGATCTTCCACCAATCCTTTTGCCACACTTCTCCTCATAGAGCCCAGCCTCCTGGATAATCTGCTCTGCATACAGGTTGAAAAGGTATGGAGATAGGATGCATCCCTGGTGTACACCCTTCACATTTTGAACCATGCAGTGCTTCTTTGCTCTGTTCTGAAGGCTGCCTCTTGTTCCAAGTATAGGTTTCTCATTAGCATGATCACGTGTTCTGGGATTCCCATTCTTTTCAGAATCACACGGTCAGCCATAGTTTATCTATCTATCATCTATCTATCTATCTATCTATCTATCTATCTATCTATCTATCTATCTATCTATCTACTACCTATGTAATCTATATATCTATCTCAACATTTTTTCCTTGTCATTGAATGTTATTTCCACAGTCATTTTAACTTCTATGAAGTTTTGTATAATTTAGCCAGTCCTTGATGTCTGAACCTATTATAAATAGCTTCATCTTTGCACCGATCCATTAGTATTCTTTTAAAATAAATTTTCAAATAAAATTTCTTTTCCGAAAGCTAAATCCACTTAAAATTTTGATACATATTATGAAAAT